CCAGGACAGGAACCAAAAAGCTACGGAGAAACCCTGTCTCGAAAATCAAAAAAAAAAAAAAAGATGTTTTAATAACACATGTCTTTTCATTACAATGGGACATGTCTGCTCCTGGCAGCACCAGTCTACTTCAGAGAAGATGATGGGCCTCAAAGAATCTCCATATGGATTTTGCTTTCTTTGTGGCAAAATGTAAGTGGACATTTTCTGTCCTGATTGCCTATTCCCAAATACTCAGCAGTCACTCCCCAAATTACTACACAGAAGTTTATATGAATTATAAATGCTTGACCAATAGCTCAGGCTTGTTCCTAACTAGTTCCTACAATTTAAATCTACCCATTTCTATTAATCTATGTATCACTACATGGCTTGTGGCTTTACCTGTCCTCTAGCATTTCTTGTTTCCTGGACAGTTGACTCGCATCTCTCCTGACTTCCTCCTCCTTCTTCCCATCATTCTCAATTTGGTTTTCCCATCTACCTGTAGTGATGTTTTCTTTGTTTTAACAATAAAGCTTGGCTGAAGATCAGGGTGCAGAGCTAAGACACTAGAGGCCAGGGAGTAGTGGGACATATCTTTAATCCCAGGACTTGGGAGACAGAGGCAGAGGGATCTCTGTTAGTTCAAGGTTACCCTGGGCTACACTAGATTGAATCTATCTAAAAGAGAAACAGAGCTCACACAAAGGTGATCCCAGCACCTGGGATCCTACACCTTTAATCCCAGCATTGGGGAACTGGAGACAGGATTGATATGGCTGGACAGAAAGAGGAATATAAGGTAGGAGGAGACAGGAGCTCAGTACAGTCTGAGTTTTGGTGGAGACAGATGCAGTCTGGAGATGAAGTCTGAGGACAGGATTGCCCCTTCAGTCTGAGCACTGGTAGAGGCCAAAGAACTCTCTAGTGACTGGTGCTCTGCTTCTTTGATCTTCAGCATTAACCCCCATATCTGACTTGTTATTAATACAAATTAGCATTCATGCTATAGCTACTATCCTGTCAGCTTTTTATTAACCAATGAGAGTAATACATATTCACAGTATACAGAAAATTACACAGCAGCAAAAACTAGCTATTTGGGTAAGAAACTGCCCTTGCCCCAACTGCTGACAGTATACTGTCGAAAATGGACAAGAAAGACATAAAGAAAGTGACTGCCAAAGTTTGACAAAACAGGATAGGACATCCCTTCAAAATTCCTGCTTCACAGAAAAGTCTGTCAGATATTCTAGGCCTGTAGGCCAAAGATGGATGCCCCAATGTTACAGAGGAATCTTGGGGTGGCTGTCCAGGCAGCCAGATATCTCTGTCATTTCTTAAATTTAGAAGTGGCTTACACTATACTTCCTGTTTATTCAGGTGATATTTTATCCTTCTTGGGTCTCTGATGGGGATTGAAGACTAGATAGCTATAGTTTTCTTTGTTACCAAATTTAGAAAAAAACTCACAAAAGTATATAAGGTTGAGAGACATAAAAGCTTAAATTGTTTATCTAAAAATTTTTTGAGTTCTAAAAACAGTTTGGGGTTGGTGTACAAGTTGGGATAAAAAGAAAATTAGGTACAAAACTTTAGACTCACTAGGATAGGATAGACAATAAAATATTTTCTCTGATTTTACCAAATGCAAATGGATTGGACATTATAAATGCAATTCTTACCTAATAATTGTTCTTATTGTATATAGTTTTACTGTGTTAGAGTTAAAACCTTTCTTTTTATGTAGACAAAAGGGGGAAATGCTATGGAATATTCCTTTACACTGTGTAAACATATGTCATTGTGATTGATTTATTAAAAATCTAAAAGGCCAATAGCTAGGCAGGTGGTATAGCATGGACATCTGGGCAGAGAGAGCTCTGGGAAGAAGAAAGTGGGTTGTCAGCATGGGGAGTACAGAGTAAAACTAACCAAGCCACATAAAAGAACATAGATTAAGAGATATGGGCTAACTTATGTTGTAATAGCCAGTTAGTAACAAGCCTAAGCTATTGTCTGATCTTTTATAACAATAGTTTCTGTGTCGTTGAGTAGCTAGTGATCCCAATGAAAAGATCTGACTACAGAAAAATATCTGGACAATTGTCCAGTTCTAACAATAGAACTAGAATTTTTACTGCTAATAAAGAACTTTTTTCAGGCTCCCAAACTTCAGTGAGAGGCAATTTTTCAATCCAGAAATAACCTTTGAACTGTTTGTTTTTAGAAGTTCTTCCTTGATGGAGGAAGGTCATTGGCTAATAAAGGAACTGCCTTGGCCCATTTTATTGGTTAGAGGATAGGTGGGAGGAGTAAACAGAACAGAAAGCTGGGAGGAAGAGGAAGTGAGCTCAGAGACTCGACAGCCCTCCTCTCGGGAGCAGACGCCTGAGAGAGACGCCATCCTCCTGGCTCCTGGGCAGACGCACGTTATGAAGCTCCGACCCAGGATGGACATAGGCTAGAATCTTCCCGGTAAGCGCACCTAGGGGCGCAACACAGATGATTAGAAATGGGCTAAATTAATATGTGAGAATTAGCCTAGATGAGGTTAGATAGAAATGAGCCAAGCGGTGTTTAAAAGAATACAGTGTCCATGTAATTATTTCGGGGCATAAGCTAGCCGGGCAGGCGGCTGGGGTGTTGGGGACGCAGCCCTGCCGCCCTTATTACTTCACTTCCTAAAACAGTCTTCAAGTTAGCCATTTTATTTTCATGATCATGTCTTACAGCTTTAAACTACAGATATCACTCAAGATATCTAATGGCTTAACTTCGGCTTTCATTTCAAGCATTAATTTCCTAATTTCCATTATCAGGAACCCTCTATACTAGAAAGGCTGTCTCCCACTGTTCCTAAGGATGCTAGAATGATCCACACTTCCTCTGGTGCTACAGGAGCTCCTTCCACTCCTTCAGCCAATACCAGCCCACTTGGGTGTGGTCTCTTTGGCTTGAAAAAGCAACGGTAGCCCGTGTGTGTGTGTGTGTGTGTGTGTGTGTGTGTGTGTGTGTGTGCGCTCTCTCTCTCTCTCTCTCTCTCTCTCTCTCTTTTGCTTCGGACTCCGCTTCCAGCTAAGAGACTCTTTTCCTGGTCGTGCAGAGGGCTGTTGTCTAGGACGGTGATCTGTAAGTTTTCCCCTTTAAATAAATAACCCTTTTATTAATCATAATTCCAAACAGGTGTGGGACTGTTTTGTGACTTACTCCTTTACCCTGAGCCTTTTTTTTTTGGTAGTGTTCTTTACTTTTATGTGTATCAGTGTTTTTCCTACATGTGTGTATGTGTGCCTGATGCAGGCCTGTAGATGTTATGACAGAGTCAGATGTTCTGGAACTGGAGTTACGGAAGTTTCCCCTTCTTGTCCAGGTGTTGTTACTGTTCTATCTAGATATGGATGCTAAAAATTTCTGGGGTTAGAGCACTGGCTGCTTTTGCAGAGGATCTGGATTTGGTTCCCTGTGGATGGACATTCTTTGGATGTCCAGCACCCAAATAATGAGCCAGAGACTTAAAATCCTTAGCTTAGGCTTGTTCCTAGCTAATTCTTATAACTTAAATTAACCTGTTTATATTAATCTATGTTCTGCCACGTTGCTCATTACCTCTCCTCCACACTATATGTCTGACTCCCTGCCCTGTACCCAGAGTTTCACTGATGAATTTTCCATACCTCAGATTCCTCCCAGAATCCTTCTCTCTCTGGAAGCCCTGTCTACCCTCTCTTGCCTAGCTATTGGCCATTCAGCTCTTTATTAAACCAATCAGGTGCCTTGGCAGAGATACATCTGTACATTGTACAAAAAGACTATCCCATAACAGTTCTCAGCCCCTACATGGTAGCTCACAACTATAATTCTAGTTCTAGGTTTTCAGATGTCCTCTTATGGTTTTGGAAGCTGCACACATGGTACATTTACATACATGCAGGCAAAAATACTCATATACATAAAATAAAAATAAGTTTACTTTCTTTCTGCTCTAAGTTTATAGAAGACACTCCTGGTTACTTCAGTTGGGCTTCTACTTACTAAGGAAGAAACCTGACTTACACACAAACACACATTATGATACAGCATGGCCAATAAGAATTTATTTTACCCATACACCATCAAAATTAGGACAATTGCTGGGTGCAGTGGTGCATGCCTGTACTACATTTAGGAGGCTGAAAGAGGAAGATAGCTGCATAGTTGACATCTAGGCCAGCCTGGATTGTTCTAAGACCCTGGTAGTGGTGAGAATCAGAAACTGTTATTCTTAAAACAACGAAGAGGAAAACTATCATGTTTAGTCAATGCACAAAGTGGATGCAACAAAATGCTACTCCTTTATGACAAAACTCAGCACAAGGGCTGTTCAGTCAGTTTCAGAACAAGCATCCACAAACCGAAGCTAGTATGTTAAATGGGAAAGTATTGTTATTTTTATTGTATGGCACTATGTTGTATAGGGCCTAAATAAGGAAAATAAATAAAAGACACTGTCATCAGATAAGAAAAACTAAAATGATATATAGGTAGTGGCACATTTTAAGAAAAATAAGACACTGGTAAGAGAAAAAATGGTCTTTGTAGATAGCATGATTGTGAGTGCCAAGAACCTACAAATACACTATTAGAAATTCGCATGCACACATAAATAAACTAGGTTACTTAAATAAGGCAAATATGTAAAAATCAATTATGTCTATATATTGGCACTGGAAAATGCAATTTTGTCCTTTGTGTGTCCGTGTGTGGCGGGCATGTTTGGAGGTGCAGGTGTGTGGTGTGCATGTGAGCCAGTTCTGTCAGATGTCTTTAATAGCTCCCACAGCTCATTTCGGCAGTTTAGCCGGTTTGTTCCAATGCAACTATGTCAAGATTTACTGCTACCATGCAGGGCATGGCTTAATAACTAATGAGTCAAGACAACGAAGGAAAATAATTCACAGCACAAAATTAGAATATGAATATTAAGTGTGGGAGGTTTGTAGGGAAGTTAGAAAATTAGAAGCACAAAATTTTTTCTTTCTCTTTAATAAAAATCATGCAGTTTGACAATAACATAGGAAAAGGAAAATTTCAGACATTGTGAGGTAGTTTTTTTTTTAAGATTGGTCCCTTGCTTTAAAAATGCATGTATTTTAGTTATTCCCTATTAAAATATTAGTTGTAGTAAATATGCTCATAGCTGATACTTCTTTTGCTAATAACAGCAACACAGCACTCCTAAACTCAGATTTTTCTAGGGTTTATATATTGCACATATTATATATTATATGGACAAAATAAGAGTGTTCCTTTTACCTTAGAAAAGGTCAGTGCTAATGTTTGTAACTTTAAAGTATCTGTTCTTAAAAGGTGACTGGAAGGTAGGAAAACTTTCTCAATTATTATATAGCCAAGGTTTATCCTTGTAATTTTAATCTCCTAGGACTAAATTGAAAGTTTCCTCATATTCATTATATTTATTAAGCCAATATGAAGTATATATTCTGAAGAACTTTGGTTAATTGCTTTTACTCATGCAAATCTGTGTTCAAGGAGTCCTCTTCAATATGAATTTTGTAGTGATTGGTAAGGGAGGATCTCTGGCTGAAGAGCTTCCCACATGCACTGCATTCATAGGGCTTCTCTCCAGTGTGGATTCGCTGGTGTGCAATAAGGGAGGAGCTCTGTCTAAAACTCTTCCCACATGTATTACACTTAAAGGGCTTCTCTCCTGTGTGAATTCTCTGGTGCTGAATAAGAGCTGCACTTTGACCAAATGACATCCCACATTCCTGGCATCGGTACGGCTTCTCCCCAGTATGAATTCGCTGATGGTTACTGAGGGATGAATTGCACCTGAATGTCTTCCCACACTCATTACATTTATAAGGTCTCTCTCCAGTGTGCATTCTCTGATGCTGGATGAGAGCTGAACTCTGTCTGAAGGCTTTCCCACAGACTTTACATTTACATGGTTTCTCTCCAGTGTGAATTCTCTCATGAATAATAAGAGTTGAATGGGAACTTAAGGCCTTGCCACATTCATTACAATTATACAATTTCTCCCCAGTGTGAATTATTCGGTGTCTGTTGAGTCTTGAGATAGAAGTGAAGCCTTTTCCGCATTCATTACACCTGTAGGGCCTTTCTCCAGTGTGAATTCTTTCATGTTGAATAAGTGAAGCGCTCTGACTGAAGGCTCTGCCACATTCGCTACATTTGAAAGGTTTCTCTCCGGTGTGGATTCTCTGATGATAGCGAAGGGATGAGCTAGACTTAAAGGTGTTGCCACACTCGTTACACAAGTAGGTCTTCTTTCTGGAATGGATTTTCTGATATCCTGAAAGGGAAGTGGATACCTTCCTACCTGGGTTATATTTATGAGGATTTTCTCGGGCATGGATTTTTTGATGCAGAAAAAGGCCAGACCTCCTGCTAAAAGATTTTCCGCATTCTTTGCATGTGTAAGACTTCTCCAGAGTATGAGTTCTTAGGTGCTTACAAAGGGACGCACTATGGCTGAAGGCTTTCCCACACTCTTTACATATGTAGGGTTTCTCTCCAGTGTGAGTCCTTTGATGTTGAATAAGAGCAGAACTTTGGCTGAAAGCTTTCAAACAATCTCTACACTGAAATAATCTCTCTCCCGTATGGTTTTTCAGATGTTTCCGAAGGGATGAGTTGTGCATGAAGGCTTTTTCACAAGTACTACATTTATAGCGTTTCTCTGCAGTCTTGATTTTTGGTTGATTAAGTGAATTTGAATTTTTCTTGAGGCTATTTCTTTGTGTTTTTTCCCTAGCGATCTTTCGTTTACCAACTGACTTCAGGTCGATGTTTGGACCAAATTCAAAATTCTTATGGCTTTTATCTACAGTAAGGATTTTCGTATGGGTGACTGGAATTATTTGTAAGCTTTCATTTTTGTCCTGCTTTTTAAAACCGTTGCCAGATCTGCAGAAATTTCCTGAAGTGAAGTCCCAGGACTTGTCTCTTTTGAGTTGTTTCTTCATTAATCCCTGAAATGATGAATCTTTAGTTTGAGTTGATTTTGTGGTTTGAAGAATGCTGTTGCATCCTGAAAGAAAAAAAAAATTGCTGGTGATGGGTATGATTAGCTAAGACTAAATTTATAGGAAGAATATTAATGATACCTAAATAAATACTATATGCCTAAAGATACTAACAAGAAGGAAAAATGGAAAATACTACTTTATAAAATAGTATACGAGAGCTAAACAACTGGAATGAACAAAGCTCATTTAAGGGGGCTGTTCTCCGAAGGGAAATGGGGGGCTGGGCCCAGCTCCAGGCTGCTTATGACTCCTCAGTCCTGTATAAGACTCTCAAATCCTCGGGTCAAATACTTTGATGGGCCGCAGCAGGATCTAGTCCGACTGCTGTCTCCTGGCTTCTCCTACCATTCTCCTGGGTCAACAGTGGCTCCCTTCTGACCATTACTAGACAATTCCTAGACTGGCCACATGATCATGGAGCTCCTAGCCTACACTCTCACAGCACTTTGTGTCTTTGCTCCCTAGTCCTCACTAGACTTCCCGTGTCTAAAGTGACCGTCATTCTGTGTCCTGTGTGTGCTTGGCATCTTCACTCTCATTGTCCCCACTGGATTGCACAAGAGCAGGACCAGGTCCCATCCTGCCTGATGCTGCCTTGCTTATATCCAGCTTATTTAGATAAGGACATGGCCAGATGGTAGGGCCAAGCTGGGAGTCCTGCTCTCAACTCAGCTGCCAAAACATCCACCTCTTCCATTTCTTTTTCCTCATTTCTGATTCCTTTCTCTTAAACATGGTGCAATGGCGTTCCTGGAATTCTGCCCTCTGTAGTCAACTCAAGGCTACAAATTCCACTTTCATGTGTCTAGGAGGGGTTTTAACCTCTCATGTGGATCCCAACTACATTTGTCTTACCTTAGACAACTACCTATGGGCGAACAACTATCCAAGTACTTCAACTGGAAACCACAGAAAACTCCTATGCTCTCACCCAGCAGACACCGTCTCACTTCCCTCATTCCTGAAGCAGCCTCTCCCTCCCCTACTCATCTCCTGAAGTGGCTCCAGGAAGCTTCCACCTCTAGCTTGGCCTCACTTTGCATCTGTCCTCCTAATGCTTCCAAAATAGCCAGTCTTATTGAATTCCAATCACATAAGGACTTCATGAATGTTAACAGTCTCTGTGAAAGAAACTACACATCAGAATAAAGTCCCTCTTTACAGATGCATTCCAAAAGTAACTACTGCTTTCCATGGCTCCCTGCCTGTACAGGTATCACTCATGCAAACAACACGTTTTCTTGAGCGGAGATGGTGCCACATCTTCACAGAGCTCTGCAGCCTTTTCACTCCTCAGCCTGTCTTGGAGCTCTGTCCACATCAGTGTGTTCTTTCATCTTAAGCAGGGTGATACAAGCCAGAGTGGGGATACGTCAGAGCTTCTTTAGTTGTGTATTTATTTCTGCACCAGACCTGTTTTCCCCACTAAAATATAAGGGATTATAAAAATCTCCTTAAACTTCTTAGATATTCCTATTAACCAGAGGACAGTACAAATCTTTCAAAACTATACCAAAACACTGTGAGGTCTCCCAAGCTCATTCTCTTTGTCTTTTCTTTTTATAATACTCTGCACAGCCAGAAAGAATTTCTTTCAATATATCCTTAAGTATTCTGAATTATTGTGCATGAAACACAGCCTCCTCAGGAAGAATAAGAGATTTTGAGATACTCATTTCCTATCAGTCCTTGAGGATCAAGTGCCTGAAGAAATCTGTTGAGAATAGGCTGATCCAAGGCTTTCTCTGAGGCACTGGTGTATGGAGAGGAAACATACTTGGCAGAGTTAGTAATGGCCTGCAGGCAGGGCTTTGGGGGAGCCTCAGCTTCAGATCATGAGTACGCAACTCTTCTAACACCAAAGAGCTGTGGTTAGCAGTCCCCAGGCTGCCATGGGCTCAGTCTGTGACATTTGTTTAAGGTATTCTGTGTTCCCTTTGTGCAACATTGCTTGATTAGCTTCCTGCTGGCATCGTCCCACTGTGTGAGAGCTTTCTGCTGACTCTCCCATCCCCACCACAAATAGAATATAAGATCCTGTACTTCTTAATAAACTTGCTTGCATAGACATTCCTGACCCAGTTTTCCTATCTTCTTTATCTTCTCATCCTTGGTCCTCCCCCTTAACAGCCCTGTTACTAAAGAACCCGCTGCTCTAGGGCAGTCTCCAGTCACTGAGGTTACCTTCTGTTCTGATTTTGTAGAGATTCTGGGGTACTCAGGACCACCCACTCACCAAGAGAGGAGTCGCCATGACTTTCTTTCTCTACTTTCCAGGGTTCTTCTCCTTGCTGCAACACGGAGATCATTTTTGGTTTGGTAAATGGAAATCCTGATCACAAACAAAATTAACAATAAAAAGGCTTATAGTTTTGTTTTAACATGAACAAGCATTGTATATTTGTGTGGGAAGCTCAGGAGATGACATAGAACACTTTTACAGGGTACTTAGGCTGTTGCCTGTCATCTGATGGGATGAGTTGAGCAGAGGCCAAGTAGCTCATAGGAGGTGACTGGCAGAACTAACTGTACATTATGGAAACACAATAAGCAGGCAGTTCTAGAAAAGGAACATTGGGTATACAGGCAGAATGAAAACATCTAAGCAGGTATCTGTGAAAAAGATTAGGTGTCAAGTAGCCTGTTTCAGCAGGAAAACACAATTTTATCTCTTTTCAAAGATAAAGTATACAGCATTGATCTGACTGCAAAAGAGGAAGTGGGAGAGGCAAAAGATAGGTAGAGAAGGAGGGTTGAGGGACATCTGCTTACAGGCCGCACAGAATAAATATAATAAGAAAATGCAGTTTCAACCCTGAAAAGGATTTCTACTGTCAAACTACAGACAGTATCAGCCCCCTTTGTGCTCTTATTTTGGGCACTTAAACACCTGCAAGTGGCAAACAGTTCTAGTATTTATAGAGATCTGATCTGTACAGCCCTACAGCAACACCCAGTTAGGGTGTTTTAATAACCACAGCTTTCATTCATGGGAGGCGGTGCTAGGTCTCATTCTGAATCTACGCCCACAGGGAACGCCCTTACCCAGGGAGGCCAGGTTGCTGTAGTTCTCCAGCATCACCTCCCGGTACAGGCTTCTCTGAGAGTGGTCCAGCTTCTTCCACTCATCCCGAGTAAAGAGCACGGCCACATCCTCGAACGTCACTGACGCCTGTGAGGGAAAGCCATTCCAACTCTAGGACCAGAGAGTTGCTGTATGCTGTATGCTCCTCATACAGCATGAGGGAGATGACAGGGTGGAAGGTGGACGGGCCATCGTGAAATGCTGCTGATGTCACTGAAGGTTCTAAAGGGGCCGGATCACCCATTTAATGATCAACCAGTGACTCGTACACAAAGAGAGGCAGCGGGGAGGAATCTGGCTGTGTGTGCAGGGAGTGTGGCCATTAGTGCACAGCATGGCTGTGTGTGCAGGGAGTGTGGCCATTAGTGCACAGCATGGCTGTGTGTGCAGGGAGTGTGGCCATTAGTGCACAGCATGGCTGTGTGTGCAGGGAGTGTGGCCATAGTGCACAGCATGGCTGTGTGTGCAGGGAGTGTGGCCATTAGTGCACAACATGGCTGTGTGTGCAGGGAGTGTGGCCATAGTGCACAGCATGGCTGTGTGTGCAGGGAGTATGGTCATTAGTGTACGGCATGGCTGTGTGTGCAGGGAGTGTGGCCATTAGTGCACAGCATGGCTGTGTGTGCAGGGAGTGTGGCCATTAGTGTACAGCATGGCTGTGTGTGCAGGGAGTGTGGCCATTAGTGCACATCGTGGCTGTGTGTGCAGGGAGTGTGGCCATTAGTGCACAGCATGCTGTGTGTGCAGGGAGTGTGGCCATTAGTGCACAGCATGGCTGTGTGTGCAGGGAGTGTGGCCATTAGTGCACAGCATGGCTGTGTGTGCAGGGAGTGTGGCCATTAGTGCACAGCATGGCTGTGTGTGCAGGGAGTGTGGCCATTAGTGCACAGCATGGCTGTGTGTGCAGGGAGTGTGGCCATTAGTGCACAGCATGGCTGTGTGTGCAGGGAGTGTGGCAATAGTGCACAGCATGGCTGTGTGTGCAGGGAGTGTGGCCATTAGTGCACATCGTGGCTGTGTGTGCAGGGAGTGTGGCCATAGTGCACAGCATGGCTGTATGTACAGGGAGTATGGTCATTAGTGCGCATCGTGGCTGTGTGTGCAGGGAGTGTGGCCATTAGTGCACAGCATGGCTGTGTGTGCAGGGAGTGTGGCCATTAGTGCACAGCATGGCTGTGTGTGCAGGGAGTGTGGCCATTAGTGTACAGCATGGCTGTGTGTGCAGGGAGTGTGGCCATTAGTGCGCATTGTGGCTGTGTGTGCAGGGAGTGTGGCCATTAGTGCGCATCGTGGCTGTGTGTGCAGGGAGTGTGGCCATTAGTGCACAGCATGGCTGTGTGTGCAGGGAGTGTGGCCATTAGTGCACAGCATGGCTGTGTGTGCAGGGAGTGTGGCCATTAGTGCACAGCATGGCTGTGTGTGCAGGGAGTGTGGCAATAGTGCACAGCATGGCTGTGTGTGCAGGGAGTGTGGCCATTAGTGCACAGCATGGCTGTGTGTGCAGGGAGTGTGGCCATTAGTGCACAGCATGGCTGTGTGTGCAGGGAGTGTGGCCATTAGTGCGCATCGTGGCTGTGTGTGCAGGGAGTGGTGTGGCCATTAGTGCACAGCATGGCTGTGTGTGCAGGGAGTGTGGCCATTAGTTTTTCTGATAAAGGTTCTTTTGAGTTTTTTATTTTGTTTTTGAGATAGTGTCTATATAGCTCTGGATGGAACTGGAAATCGATGTTAGATCAGGCTGGCCTCTGCCTCCCTAGTACTGGGATTAAAGATGTGCACCACCATGGACAGCAAGATTCTTTACCCTTAATTTCCCCATGCATGCAATGCCTATAGAGGAAAAATAATTTATTATGGAGAGAATACAAAGGATGGTCTTTGCTTTTAAAGAATTTCTGCTCTAATCAGTGAATAGGAACATGCATAAAATAATTTCAACATTGCAAAAAAGCTGTGTAGATAGACTGGTAAGCCTGTACACAATCTCCTGCTTCAAGCCCCGCTTCAGAGACAAGAATGTGAGGTCAGCAGCTGCAAAAACCACTGATAGCAGCACCACAACTGAAGATATCTCACGTGAACACAGGACCTACTCTGTTCTTTCCTTGGTCTTAAACTTCTGGACCCTGAGGATTTCTGTTTTTGTTTTTACTGTAGTATTGACATGGGGAGAAGATAAGCGAGATGTGGGACATGGTTCACATACACACACAGGGATGAAGATTCAGTACATGAACAAAACTTGACTCTCCTAGATGGAATGTGAATGAAGGCTTATGGAAACGGAGCTACCCAAATCCCAGCCCCTTCTGGGTCCAAAGATAACCTGTATTGTTAATACAGTGTAGTCTGGTTCCAGGGTAACTGAAGCTGAGTCATCACTATGAGCCTGGCCTGATCTAAACACCTTTCACAAACTAACTATGCCATTCTCTGACCTATTCTAGAAGAGGACAAGGGTTGTTATTTTTATTTTCTTGGTGAGGAAACTGAGGCACAGAAAGTTAGACTTACTTTCTCAAGGCCCACAAATGGTAATAGAGGGGATGAGTTAAAATTCAGCTGTCTTGAGCACCCCATTTCCTGACCCCTGTGCTCACTGATTTTCTTCATGGCTCCTTGAGAAGTTGTCTCCCTGCTTTCAGAGTCACGCTCCTGAAACTGTGTCCCCTGCAGTATGGCTTTCCTTTGTCCACATGGTGTCTCATCTAGGTGGGGGCATCTCTTAAATTCCTGCACCTTAAAATGGCAGGTCACGATTAGTTTTCACACAAATGCTACAATCGAAACTTAGGTTCCAAAGAGTGAGGGGGGGGGGGATATGGCCTGGAGAAGGCTGAGAGGGCATCGTAAGTATTTTCAAGGGCAAAAAGAAATAGATGAGCACTCTTAGTGAGGGCTGAGAGAAGCATACACGAAGGAAGGAGGCAGACCAGAAGGACTTTCCCCAGATGTGTCCCTAATGATAAGAGGGCACTTGCAGCTGGGCGGAGTGGCACACGCCTTTAATTCCAGCACTTTGGAGGCAGAGGCAGGAGGATCTCTGTGAGTTCGAGGCCAGCCTGATCTACAAGATCTAGTTCCAGGACAGGCTCCAAAGCTTCAGAGAAACCCTGTCTTGAAAAACAAAAACAAAACAAAAGGGCACTTGTATGTCACTGTCAATTTAGTAGGTACACAGCAGACTGGGGTCAGCCAACAGCGAGGCCAGACAACTGTGAGCACGGGGTGTGCTCGCTACATAAACCACCCACGAAGAAGGACCAGCTCCTCCATGGGCACCAAATCCTGGATACAGGGCTTCAGTTAGAAAGGAAAAACAAAATCATACAAAACCCACCTTCTACTAAGAACTGAGATGGCAACGCGCTCACCTGAGACTTCCCTTCCCTTTGCTCTGGAGCCATGATCTCTTTCTGGGCTTTCCTTAAGGATGGGTACAGTACTCCAAAAATGTGATCTGAGGGAAGAAAAAAGTCGGACTACTTTGCACCCTCAGAAGCACCATGTCCGAATGTGTCCTATCAGCATCAGCTGAGCCTGGCTCTCCTGCCTCCAGAGAGAGAAGTAGGAGCTGGGGATGGGCATCAGAGAAGGCTCAGGCGACAATGGACTCCATCATAGAGGGGACTCACTGCGCCCCCACGTGCCAGGCATCACTGTTCAACACAGCTCAGCTGGCACTGCCCGGCCCCTTCAGGTTAGGAAACCGAGGCCAGAGTCACAGTGAGGACGCACCGGTTTCCAAGTGCTCAGATCTGACACAGGCCCAGGACAGTGTTCCTCCACTCCACGTGCTGCCCACCCAACAGCGCAGATGTCAAAGGGTCAATTTCCAGAACCCTAGAGAAAACCCCAGAAAGGGGACCAGTGGCTCAGGGCAGCCCAAGCTGGGACCGCCATAGGCCTCCATGTCCTCCAGCCTGGCCACGCCGCTCACCTCCCTCTGGCTCCCGCCACGCCTCATGAAGGCTCCGAGCCACGCGTGGAGACTCAGACCCGGAGAGCTCGGCCCCGAGCCTCTTAGCCAGCCTTTCAGAAGCCCAGCAGCCGGTTGAAACTCACAGGGGAGGCGGGGCTGGGGAGGGGGTTCGAGGACTGAGGACGCGCAGGCCTTTGGGAAATGTAGTCCACTCCGGGACCCAGGGTTTGTGGGATTTGAAGTTGACCGGCTCTGTCGCTCTGGTGCGCAACTGCAGTGGAGGCCCTGCAAAGGGCCCCGAGTTCAGCAGCTCTGTGGTGTCTTGGATGTGGAAAGCATCGTAATTGCATTTGTTTGAATGGTAGTGAGGCCAGCCGACACCGTCCCGAAAAGACCCACTTCTCCCGCAGTTACTTGAAATCGTATTGCGTTGTAAGGCTTTTGAAATAAACTAGAGAACAAAAGGGAACATCATTTGGTTTGCAGTGCTTTTTAGTGGGATAGAGAGTAGACACTGACCTGTGCAAAGAATTATATATTGCTTTAGACTCCGAGGGTATTACAAGATTAAAACAAAAAGGCAGGCTGGCTGAAACCTGGAGCTCCGAGGTTTACAATCAATCAATCATTCAGTCAATCAATCAATCAATCAAGCTGAGAATGATAGAGGAAGAGGCCTTTGTTCTGAATGCAATGCAGCACACACACACACACACACACACGGGGGGGGGGGGAGAGACAGAGACAGAGACAGAGAGAACTTGTGTTAGCTTCACCTGGCCATCAAGGAAACTGGGACTTCTTGGCAAATTGCTGCCAATGAAACTGCTGTATGTTGCAAGTTGATTTTTATTCAATAGATTCTGACACACACATATGTAATCTGTTTCTGATATACATACAGTGCACTCAGGGCAAAGACAAAAATCGAATACCGTCATGCTTTGCTTACTGGTAGGTGTACATTTCTGAAAAATGGGTTGTTTATCTAAACAGTAGATTATAAGTGCTACACTTCTGTGTGGCTGGACACACAGGCATGCTTACCGCAAAAGTGTGAATAATGTGATAAAGTTTATAAAAGCTCCGTAGCTAGGGGGTACAAAACACTTAGTTCCAATGGAATCTCATGAAACCACTATCACATAACATCAGAAAACAGGCTAATACAATACGTTTCATGTATGCATGTAGAACTTCGTGTGTAACCAGACATATACACCCATGCACACACTCCAGTGTGAGTGAATATTCTTAGCCCCCACTCTGCATCCCTACTGCTAACATGCTACTGTAATATTAACTACAGAGACGGGCATTTCCTAATTCTCCTGGGTCCCCTTCCCCGCTCAGGAAATGCTAGCATTGCTCAGGACTAAATCCTAGGAGCTTTCTTCTCATTACTGACTCTTGAGTTTTCTCTACCTCATCTATTGTTTTAATTGCCTTCAATTCTCTAGTATCCCCTAAATTTTCTTCTGAGTTCTGGTAATAATCTGAACTCTGCCCTCATCCAATTTTAATAAGAGTTGAGAGAGGGTCCTGTATCATCCCTCAAACTTTGCTACCCTCCTCTCTCTTGGGCTGGTCCCACTCCTTGTGTGCAGCTTTCCTTGGCATATGTCCCATGGTTCTAGCATCTTCCACACTTGGCAATCTCTGACGGGATACAGGCTTCATTTCCACAGCTTCATGCAATGGCCTCTTAGGGAGGTCCTGCCACACACATGGTCTCAGCCGTTCTGTGAAACTACAGAGTAAGATTCCACAACCCCATCGCTCATGCCTCCTTCATGACTCTAGAGTTAATTTGAATAACACCGTCAAGTTTGGCTGCCAGCTTGGAATGAGCCCTGGACCCCTTGAATCACATTGGTGGTAGCTTTTGTTTGTTCTTCCTTTCCAGGAGCAGGAGATTCCTTAGGCCTTTTTCCTTTAGAAGCTGGAAGCTGAGCTGGATGGGGTCTTGCCCTGAGGATGCCCTTGCCTTTACTCCTCTACAGATCAGACCTCTCCTAAGCCTTATTATCCTTCTCAGCATGTGCTTTGGCCGCCACAGTAAGGTTCCTGGTGCTCCTTTCTTCTTCAGACTGCACACTTTGTTTCTTTCTGTCTCGCTTGCTCTTTCTTCATTCTAGACCTACGTGAGACTGAGTCCCGATAGCCACAGGACAGAGTCAATGTAGGTCTCTTGAAACGCCCTCCTCCAGAAAAATGAATCTATTGCATTAAATTTAGCCTCAGGTATGTTCCTAGGACAAGGGTAGAAAGCATTCATATTCTTTGCCAAGATATCACAAGAATGGTCTCTAACCCAGTGAGCTAGGCCCCTGCAGCCCACGTTGCTCTCAGCCCTACATTCTTTCAAGATCCTACTAGGCTGGCCCATTAAACTCCATTTACAGCAGTATTCAAGCACCTTTTGCTTCCCAAAGTCCCAAAGTCTTTTGCATTCCTTCAGAAAAGTCCACTTGGTAGCTCATAACCAGTAGTAACTCCAGCTCAAGGGGATTCAGTGCCCTCCTCTAGACCCCGTAGGCCCCTGCCCTCACACATACACAGACCCCTCCCACATATGCACGTAATTTACAAATAAATATAAATTTTATGATCACTTGGACGACTTTGTGGGGCTATGGGAGCCAGGGTTCCTGACTAAACTGGGTTGGTATGAGCATTTTACCAGGAGCTGGGAGAGCTTTGGTTTCTAATACTACTTCGTTTTTTTGTTCTTCTTTACGTGGTGGTCTGAATGAGACTGCTCCCCTAGGCCCATAGGCAGTGTCACTATTAGGAGGTGTGGCCTTATTGGAGGAAGTGTATCATGGGGGGGGGTGGGCTTTGAGGTTTTAGAAGCTCAAGCCAGGCCCATTGTCACTCTTTCTTCTGGCTGCCTGCATCCAGACGTAGAACTCTCGACTACCTTTCTAGCACCATGTTTTCCTATGTGCCACCATGTTTTCCACCATGATGACGTGGACTAAACCTCTGAACTGTAAGCCAGCCCCAGTGAAATGTTTTCTTTTATAAGAATTGTGGCCATGGTGTCTCTTCACAGCAGTTGAAACCCTAACCAAGTCGCTTTATCACTGGCTCCTTAAAACCATCTAGGTGACAAAAAGTAATCTTTAAGAAATTATTAAGACCACCCTAGGCTTCCTGGTGTATGACTCTCCCCGTGCCTCCTTTAATTTCCCTCTACCACTTGTGCCATATGAAGCAGCCGGTTCCAGGATTCTCCTGACCCTGTGGCTTACCTTGGAGCAGAGGTGATGCTCTCCCCTCTGAGGATGCTTCTCTTTGCAGGAGGTGCTTTTCTTAGAACTCTGGAGTCTTCATGGCCTCACTGACCAAAAGGAAGATAACTTGGAGGCCAAGGGACAAAATATTGGCTTTTGTTTGTTTGTTTGTCCCTTTATCCTCGTTGGCTCAAGCCTCCAGTTTGGGTTACTGAACCCCCAGAAGGACTCTTCCAGGAGTCTTGAAGTAACGGATTTTATCTTTCACCTTTATGCAACACCTACAAAGCTTAGGAAAAGTGCCATAGTTGGAAAATCTGAGCAACGTCACTTATTCCTCCTTGAATAAGTAACCCATGTAACCCAAGGCAACACAAAGGAAATCGGTTCCTGATTCCCATGGGGCACAAGGGATACTGGGGATTGTTTGCTGAAATATCCATGAATGTGAGGGACTGGGATGCCACAGGAAGACAGGCATGCTGAGGCAGGGTCTTGAGAGAAGTGGTGTGTGGTACCCAGATCCCTGGGTCAGGAAGGGCTTTCTTTGCAGGAGAGTTAAGGTTGACTCCACTGGGGCCCCAGGCCTGGTGTGAGGCATCAGTGACTTCGCTGTGTTCTGCTGTGAGATGTGATAGTTTTGAGATGGCAGAGGCTTTGGGAGGGGATATGAAGGGCAGACCAAGAGAGGATAAAATCAGGGGAAATCAGACAGTGGAGCCTGTCAGAGCCACTCATAGGCAAACGTACCTTTGTGTCATCCGTGTTCCTGAGGGGGAGGACAACGGAAAAATCAAACGCTGTCGAGAACACTTCTGAACGCCCCGAAGCCTGAGCAACAGTTCACACAGGGGCCACAGCTAACAAAATAACACAGGTCAAAAACCCAGCTATTCCCAGGTGTGGGTGGTTAGCCTCTTAAGAGTGTGCAGGGTACATTCCCCACCTGCCCAAAAGCATACTGGGCGGGGGAGGGATTGGCCACTTAGTCCAAGACGCTTTCTCAGCCAGCACAGTTCATAGAAAGGCCAAGATCTGGAACCTATCACGCAGCAGGGCCAGGCGTGGCAGTCTAAAGCATGACTCTTGTTCTGGATAGTTTTTTTTTTTTTAAATCAACTTGACACAAGCTAGGGTCCTCTGATAAGAAGAAACCTCAGCTGAGAAAATGCCTCATTCGCCTGGCCCACAGACAAGCCTGTGGGGCAATTTCTTCACTGATGATTGACGTGGTCGGGCTGGCCATCTCTGACCAGTGCCATCCACAGGCAGGTGGTCCTGGGTTGTATGAGAAAGTAGGCCGAGCAAGCTGCATGGAGCAAGGCGGTAAGCCGTGTTCCTCCATAACCTTTGCCGCATTCAGGTCCTGTCTCTCGGTTCCTGCCTTGTGTGCGTTCCTGCCTTGGCTTCCCTAGGTGATGGGCTCTGATCACGATGTGTGAGACGGATAAACCCTGTCCTCTTTAGGCTGCCCTTGGTTATAGCGCTTATCACAGCAGTACAAAGCAAACTAGGACTGCCCTGCCCATTCTGGCCTTATTCGGGCAGGGCAGCGCAAGCTCCCCAGAGAAGGGAAGGTGTTCAGCAGCTCCAGAGGCGCAGCAGCAGCACTTCAGGATAAGGGCATCGAAAGGCTCCAGGGACATGGCAGTGTGTTGTGGAGGCTAGACTAGTGCCTCCCAGCCGTCTCGCTCCACCCAACGCTGCTCTTCAGATGAGAGAAGTGATGCGATCCTTGCATGGTGTATTAACCTTCGCTAACAGTTTATTACTATTGTTGCTATTATTATTAGTAGTAGTATTACTACTACAACTACTATTTATCCCCTGAGCTGTCTAAGAATAATCAGCGTTTGCTTAGAATGATCAGTGATGGGGCCTTCCAG